ATTGACAACATATTTAAATTTCGCTTTTTCATAACTGACCTTCACAATCAGTTAACTAATTTGCACAATGTGGAATACGCCCAGTCTAAAGCAAACGAACTGCTGACAGTTTTTAGAGGACAAAAGTTAACTGTTGATGAACTTTCCGCAATTAAACAAAACATAAATGGATATATTTCAACAAATACATTTTTATCTGCTACTACAGCTTGTGACGTTGCACTATTCTATTCAGGTGAAGGATCAGATCGTCCTGAACGTGAATCAGTTATGTTCGAAATCGATATTAATAATCCGTCACAAACATTGACATCATTCGCACGTATACAAAAATTGAGTTATTTTGAAACAGAAGATGAAGTTTTGTTTACTATTGGTGCCATATTTCGAATTGATTTTGTTGAGTCATACGATCTCGTTTGGCATATAAAATTAACACTGACGAACGGTGAAAATGACGAAATTAAAGTACTGACTGATCACTTAATGAATGAAGTTGGTAATTTAAGTTCAACAATGACACTTGGAAGTATTTTAATTGAAATGGGAGATTATGATCGAGCCTATAAATATCATCGTCTGTTGTTCGAAGAACTGCCACCAAATAATGACGACCTAGCCATGATTTATAATCATTTAGGTGTGATACAAGCGCATAAGGATGATAAGACGACAGCACTTGAGTACTATACAAAAGCAGCTGATATTGCCGAAAGTAAAGAAAAGTATTCTTATCTTTTGTATATTTATTCGAACATAGCAACTGTCTACATGGCCAAGCAAGATTATCAAAAGAGTTTAAGCTTTTGTAAAAAAGGTCTCGAGTTAGTTGAACAGCCAACAGTCAATAATAATCCTATTGGTGTTGCAAATTTATATCGAACATTAGGCAAAATTTATTTTTTGACGGGTGTATATGAATTAGCACATGTTCATTTCAATAAAGCTCTTAAATGGTTAAAACAAACTTTACCCTGGAATCATTATTATATAACGAGTTTATATGCTGCTATAGCTGATGTTTATTTTGAACAGGGCAATTATAAAACTGCACTTCATTTACAAAAGCAAGTGCTTGAAATGGAACAAAAATGTTTACCGTTCGAGCATCCCTCTATTGGAGCATCTCATAATAATCTAGGGCAAACTTATCGAAACCTAGGAATGTACACTGAAGCTATGAAAAACTATGAGATAACACTAAAGATTTATCAAACTGCATTACCAAAAAATCATACCGATGTTGGCTTAATTTATCATAATATTGCAGAGATTTATGATCATTTAGATGACTGTGAAAATGCGTTAGAAACTTATCAAAAAGCTCTGGACATTCTACTTGTGTCAAGTCATGGTGAAACAGCAAAAACCTACAATAACATTGGAATGATCTATCAAAAACAAAAAGATTATACACAAGCATTGATCTGTTATCAAAAAGCGCTTGATATCAATAGTCAATCATTAAGTCAAGATCATCCTGTTATGGGCATTACATATAATAATATGGGAACTGTTCATTTGGCAAAAAATAATTACTCTATTGCACTCGACAATTTTAAACACGCATTAAAAATATTTCATACACCACTACTCGTTGATCATCCAATGCTCGTTAAGATATATAATAATATTGCATTGGCATTATGTAATATGAGTGATTATACATCTGCACTAGAAACTTTAGACAATGGCCTCAAAATGATTCAAGAAAATTACGAGAATTTTTCACAACAAGACGTGGCTCTTTTCTATTCAAATTATGGTGAGCTATGTGTCAATTTAAAAAAGTACGGTGAAGCGTTAGATAAATTCAAAAAATCATTACAGATTCATTTGAATTTAAATCCAATCAGTACTTTATCATTGGCTGCGATATACAAAAATATTGGAGAAACTTATCATATTATAGGTAAAAGTAACATAGTAAAACGTTTCTATTGTGAACACTCTCGACAATATCTCTAACGTTTTAGCGGTTTTGTACGCTTTCCTGCAAAAAGAAACAGAAAGTGCAAGAATTTCCTTTTCTTCGTTAATTTTGAATGCCTATGTTGTAGTCGAAGTTGGAACTCCAATTTCGGCTAGTCAATTCCAAATTCTACGATAACGCATACAAGCTTCTATCGCTGGCCTCATCTTTCGTGCTGGAAGAGACAGTTAATCCACGAGAGACACCTAAGTGTAGAACAGGACCAGAACGGCTAAAATTCGATGCAGCAAATTTTTAAATGTTTTGAAAAGATGGAATTTTCTTAAAAATCTGAAATATATTTGCAGAAACTTTGCAAATTTTTCTCAAAACGGGGAATTCTTTTTTAAAAATTATAACTTCTTGAAAAGAAGTTTTTTACGAGCTCTGGACAGCTACTGTGGCTGAGCCGGATCTGAGAACATCCAGTATGGCGAGGTGTTCACATACATAGGTTTTACTGTAATTGATTTTCTACTCGTAATGATCAGTAACTGATAAAATCTGAGTACTTGCGTTTTCAAACAATTGTATGTGGAACAATTTTACTATTCTGCGAGAACACTCACGTGTTCCGTCTGGTGCAGAACGAGGGCGGTTTCATAGTGGGGAAAATACTCTTTCTATGAGAAGTCAGAAGAACTGCACAATTCAAAACTTCACTGAGAATTCTCAGC